GTAAATGCCAAAAAGCCAATGCCTAATTCTAGCTTTAATGTTTTATAATCATTGAGATCTTTATTAGCGATAACTACCCAGCTATCAAGATGACTAAAAAACACCATACATTTTCATATCCTCTCTCTAATCCTGTCCAATTTTTTGATTAATAAGATAATAAAACATGAAATGGTCAAAAGACAACAAGAAAAGAAGACAGACAAGAGTTTTAAAACTGGAAGTTACCTCAGAGATTACCTAATACAATATTCTTATTTCATAGTTGAGAAAACTGAGACCTAAGTATCTCTAAATTAGCTCTACAACTAACTAGGATACAGGTCTATATAATCTCCCACCAAAATAAGAAACAAAATGGATATGGCCTTTTTTTGAGGGGAACACTTAGAACAGTCTCTGGACTAAAGAAAAGAAGTTTTAGCAAGTTACTTAATACTCTGTGCTTCCCCTTCGGCATCTTTGTGACAGACACACAGTTAGCCAACTATCCAACAGATGCTTCTTCCCGTCCAATCTGCTCACAGAATCCCAGTTTTTCCTGAGCAGCAGCAGTGTGCCTAAGCCTAGGAAATGATGCACGTCACAGCAACCATGGTAACCCCATTCTCCTTAGCCATACACTCACTTCTCCAACCTCTCCTGTGAGTGGGGGCAGTTTTGTTCTAGCAAATGACACTGAAGAGAAAATCAAATGAAAGCTTCTGAGAAAGATTTTGTTCTCGGTTAGGCAAGCACAGGAGAAGGGACAGCTTGTTCTGTCCCCTTCCTCCTTCTTGCCTTGAAAGGGGATGTGATACCTAAAGCTGAAGCAGCCATTTTGTGACCTGGTGACAATAAGTGAATAGGCAAAAGATGGCAAGGTCAACGACTGGAGAGAATCTGGGGACGTTGCTGAGCAGCTGAGCCAACTGAGACCACCAACCTCTAAACTTCTCTGAACCGCATAAATAAATAGCTCATGGTGTAAGCCTCTGCCAGTGGCTTTCTGTTAACTACAGCTGCAAGCAGTCTGAATAAAAAAAAATAAAATAAATAAAATAAAAATTCTGTGGCATGCTATGATTTTCCTGCCCAATCTCATTCCCATTACAAACATATATTCTGCTTATGCTACATGCAGCCAAATAGTGATAGGATTATATTTCTCCTACATTGTTAATTACCTTATGGTTATAGTACCTCAACTATATGACTGTATTAACATAAGTGTCATCAGTAGAGAACACATTAGGGGAAAAAACATGATTTAGAATCATGCTTGTTTCTGACTTTGATCTTTCCTTCTACCATCTCAAATCCTTTTTGGAATTAAGTACCACATAACACACTGATAAATGATATCTGTTTGAACTAAACTGTTCTTCTATTTCCTTTAATCATAACTACCTGTTAGTAAAAAAATAAAGTGTTAAAATTTCATTCTTGAATTTCCAGCCCCAAACCTGGCCCAGTCAATATTTTCATATACTGATGCTTGTAACAAAGCTTAGAGACTTATGAGCACTACACCAAACTCATGGCACTGCTGTTTTCTCCTACTGGTTATAACACAATTTGAATACATTGGTAAGACATTAAAAGACTACCCAGCACAGGGCTGGCCGAATGGCTCAGTTGGTTAAGAGCGCGAGCTCTGAGCAGCAGGGTTGCCGGTTCGGTTCCCACATGGGCCAGTGAGCTGCGCCCAAGCTGCGCCTGAGCTGAGCTGTCAACAGGGGATGGCTCAGCTGGTGAGAGCACATGCTCCTAACAACAAGGTTGCCGGGATGGTGGGCTATGCCCACTCGCAACTAAGATTGAACACAGCACCTTGAGCTGAGCAGCCGGGAGCTGCCAATGGGCAGCCGGATGGCTACTGGACTTGGAGCCGAGCTAGCTGCACCCTCCACAACTAAGATTGAAGGACAACAACTTAGCTGTTCCCTTCCCCAATAAAAATCTTTTTTAAAAGACTACCCAGCACATTATTAAAACCATATTTTTATGGAAATCTTTCAAATACATGTTCATCTCCATGACTCCTGTTACACCTATCACTGTACTTCCCCGGGCCTGATTCTTCCTGTGTCCAACACATGGAAGAATCCAGTTCACCCCAGTCTTCCTCTCTGCTCATCACTGCTTATCCCTACTCTGTCCACAGCCCAGTTCTGCCTATAGCTGTTCCCAGGATCACTAATGTCTATTCCATTTCCCCCTCTTACAAATTTCTTCTTTCTAACTTCATCTGTCATCCCTCAGCTTCCTCAGAAAAAAAGGTCAATAGCCTCCCAAGTTGAAAGGAACAAACAACTGCCATGAACATCCGTTTTCCACTCAAGTATATTGGCATCTCTCTCCTGGATCTCTCTCTCAAGGAAAAAATAGCTGATACAGATACAAATGAGTAGATATAAACACTATATATAGTACATGTACATATATGTGGGTTCAGCACTTTTTAGTTAAAAAAAAAAAACAAACAAAAAAACAGGGAGCAAATGCTCACTTTTTGATAAGTTGTAAAGTACTTTTACCACCTCACCTCCTCCCTTCTGTCTACCCTCTATCTCACTTCTCTCTGATGTTATATGACCTTCCATCCATTATGGTCTCTGGGTCACACGACTCATCAAACACACTAGCATATTCCCTTCTTCCCTTGCAAATTAATCAGTTAAGATAGAAACATTACTTTATTGATATAGATGTGTTACACTGATCTAAAAATATATTAGGACGCCACACGAGTTTACATCATTTTCGAAGTATGATCCAGAGACCACTGGTGGGAGGTCGTGGAGAACCTTTCAGGGATCCACTAGGTCAAACCTCTTTTTAATAATACAAAGATATTATCTGCCTTGTTTGTTCTCATTCTGTCTGGAGTGTACAACAGTGAATCCAGAGGCTACATGATGTGAGATGATGGTAACGTATCACTCTGGCAGCTAATGAAACATATGCTTGTACAGTCTTGTGTTTTTTAGAATTTTCTAAGGTAGCAAATTCAAGGTATAAATATGCTATTTTTTCAAAAATTAACTCAGGGTGTTCTCAGTACTATTTCCTAGGAAAAACAATCTTTGATGATAGCTGCTATAATCTCCACAACTTCATTATCATCCAATAAATTCATTGAGAGTTTAAAGAAAAATAAATTGAATATTTTAAACACTGACATGATGAGCTCTTTAAAAGGTTATTTTTAAATTATTATTTTCAAATTAGAAATAAAAGAAGTCACTGAAGCATCATACAGTGTAAATTATCAGATTGCTCAGGTTGGAGCAGTGCACACAGTAGCTGGGAAACTAATAAAGCTTTGTATGGCTGACACTGCTGAATGTCTGCTGGATGAAAAGTCAGGAAAAAAAAATCAAGGCAATGACACTTACCAATGATGCAGTGTCTCATCGAATTAAAGATTTTACTGCAAACATGAACTACAAGTTAGTATCTCGCCTTAAGGATTACTTTTGCTTTATAAGTGGACAAATCTATAGATGTGGGTAGACTTACTGTTTTGTTTTTATTATTTCAGTATCCATGCCAACTAACCATCGAAGAAGGTCTTCTTTTATGTGAATGCTTGGCAACAAATACAAGTGCTACTGAATGACTCAAAGTATTAAATAACTTTTGAATCTCGTGATTTATCCTAAAACAACCATGTTGATATCTGTTCTGATGATACAAAAGCAATGGTGGATAAAATGCTGGTGCTTGAGCATGAATCAAGTCAGGGGTACAAAACTGTACTAGTAATAATTATATTCCTTGCTGTCTATCAAACTGACTTTAAAAAGCCAATTTCACTTAACAATGCTTTTGGTAAAATAAAAGGTATAAATATGCATTAATTTTATTAAATCTCACTCTTGAAAACGTGGCCTTTTTAACATTCTGTGTAATGAAATGGGAGGTACACAAAAAGCACTTCTGATATATACCTAATACTAATGGTTGTCTTGAAGAAAAGCACTTATGCAATTGTTTGAGTTGTGAGCTAACTATACACTTTTTTCATAAAATACCACTTTTGCTTAAAAGAATAACTGACAAACAACTTACAGGTTAGTCAGACTTAGGTATCTGGCAGACATTTTCTCTAAAATGAATAACGTAAGCCTGACACTTCAAGAAGAAAACAGACAAAATCTGTTGCCAGTGGTAAAATCTGAGCTTTCGATAAAAAATTAGAATTTAGGAAAATTTAAACTCAACACCAAAGTTTTAACTGCTTTCCATTTCTTAAAGACTTTTTTGAGAGATTAATGGTAATATTAATGAATGTGATTTCTTAAATATTGTGTAAGCAAATGTGTCAACATTTGAAAGATCTGTTAACTCAGTATACCATTATTTTTCAAATGACCAATGTATGACGTTATAAAATCATACACATCAAAGATCTATTTGAAGTGCAAGATGGACCAATATATTTTTAATGTTACAGTGTACAAAAGATTCACTGATATGGTTTGAGTTAACATTGCAACTAACCTTTAAGAATCTACCACTTGTTGAGTTCTGATGTAACAATGAATATTCACAATTACATGAAAAGACACTAAAATACTCTACCCTTTTTAAACTATGAATCTGGGTATAGCTGGGTTTTCTTCATATACTTCAAACATATCACAACAAACTGAATATAACAGCAGTTGTGAAAATCCAGCTGTCTTCTATTAAGCAATACATTGAAGAGAGTGGCAAAATGTAAAACAATGTCACACTTCTCACTGTATTTTTGTTTTGGGATACATTTTTCATAATAGTATGTTATTTATGTTTACCTTTAATGAGTTTTTTAACGAATAAACATTTTAAACATTTGTCAGTTTTAATTTCTAATGTGATAAATATTGATACAGTCCATATAATAAAATGTGTTTGGGTCCTCAATAATTTTCTACACGTACAAAGGTGTCCGACACCAAAATATTTGAAAACCGCTAGCTTATAACACCACAAAAAAAAGAGCACTTATGTGTATATAAGAGAATGGGTACCTGAAAACGAATCAGATGATCTCAGCTCCAGTTCTAACACCGCTTCTTAGTCGCTTTGGGATTTGGATAAACTACTTAGTCTAAGGTCTTAGTTTCCTCATCTAAAATGGATAACTCATGTCTTGTTCTAAGGATAAAAGACAAAATGTGAAAAAGCAATTTATAAATTACAGGTATATTATTATTATAAGTTCTCAAAGTTTAGAATTTAAAACACTTCTTGTGACCATATTTCTACAAAATTCTCCCTTCTTAAAAATGTATTACTAAAAGCAGAACTTCTAGAAAATGCAAAGTGGAGATTTTTGATTAGCCAATTAGCGCAAATGTCCAACCATATAATTTTACTGTATTAAATTTCTTCCCTTAAGGTTATAATTGGTAATGTAAAGTTTAACTAATTATTAGTATTTCCAAATATACACACAGCATAGAAAATAGTAAACGCCAATGTACTCATCACCCAGCTTGAACAATTATAAAAAATGTGTCTATATTGTTTTATTTCCCATTTGTGTGTATTTGTGCCTATCTTGAAGTTTTCTAAAACAAATATTAGGCATGATTTCATTTTGTCTATACTTGCATATGTATCTTTAACATACGAGAATTTTTTAATATAACCACAATACCATTAATATATACAAATTTTGTTTATAATTATTAAATACCATCTAATACACCATGTTCTAATTTCTTGTCTCAAAAAAAAATCTTATTTTAGTTGGTTTGTATCACCAAAATATTCGCACCAGTTCGTTTTCAAGGAACACATGATTTTTAGCAAAAGCTAGTAAGAATGAAACTACCATACTTCATATACCATGTGCAGTTTACCAAACAATGTCAAAAGCTATCTTCCTGAGGAATGTGCTTCTCCCCCAACCAAACAACAAACAAAAATAACAAAAGAAACCCATCAGAAAATAGGCCAGACTGGCGACACGTCAGTATTCTGAGCAGTGACCAGAAGAGAACACAGCTCAGGTGCTCAGGAAGAGGAGTTGATTGGAAACAACCACCTGCCATTTCAGAAAAGACGAGGTCAGGTCAGCCACCGGGTCAGCAAGCTGGAGGTGAGCTCAGGGTCCAGGTTCTACAGTGAGCATACTGCTCAAACAAGTCAGGTGCCCAAATCAGTTAAGGCAACCAACTCCCTTCAAATTTCAACTCAAAACTTAATAAACAGTGCTCTAAGCTAGAGATATAATGAAACCACAATTAAAAGTAACAGCTGTGATTATTTGTTCAGCACACACTTATCAAAAACTGACCCTACCAGGTACTATCCTAGGATATGAGTTGTTGTTTTTTTAATTTATACAATATAAACAAATAGCATATACTTACCTACACATCTCTTTCTACATTAATTTTAAGGGGAAAAATAGAGGTATTTAATATTCATTACCTTGCCATATACCACTACAATTTATAGTACATCTTTTTTCTGTCAATTACACTTGGCCCCACGTCTCACCCAGACACTAAAACAAATCTGAGTTCCACTGCCCTTCCTTCCCAAATATTTCTGAAGAGTACAAGTCACACTGTCACACACACCACAGACCCCCAGCATTTATACCTACAATTATTTTCTAAATGGACTAGAAGAAAATCAAGGGAACGCTAAAGAATTCCCTACCTCCTCTGAAAATTGTGTTCTTTTCCATAGGATTGCCCATGCACAACAGAATGTGCTGTAGATGAAAACTGGTCAAATGCACAGAGAAAAATTTTTGAGATTTGGTTCTATAGACACACACAAAATATAAATCTTTTTTGAAATCCTTTACCTTAATTTCATCTATAAATTTTTTTAAGTTTAAAATTGCAGAAAAATTGAAGAGGAAAGAACATATTTCATCCCAAGAATGCTTGAGAAGTACTTCATAAATGTGTCCAAAAACAAGAAATAGTCACCAAGAAATTCTTAGTTCATTGAAAAGGATTTCTTCTCAACAACAAAACCTGGCAGTCATATAAGTGCAGTAGGAATCCTGACTTCCCCATTGCAAAACTGATACTTTTGCTTTTCGGGTTTCTACTATTTATAGAAAGACTGTAAAAATTCTAAGTTTAAGATAGTATTTCCAGTGAGATCACGAGCTCCCCTACAAACGTTTAAGGAAAGGTAACTAAGCACACACAACACAACACAGTCCAAATTTACCATTCAATTCCTGTACCACGTGGACAAGACCCAGAGAGGTGTCATCCTTCACCCTATTTCACCCATCTGGTAATTAAGCCAAATAGCTTACCTATACTGTCTGTACATCTTTTGTGTGCTCTGTTGCAAGGCACCATCAAAACAATTTAGCTTCACTTTATAGCACTATTGTGACTACTGCTCTTAGCGAAGAATCTAGCCTAAGTATACAGCCCAAAACATCACAACCCTAAGTAAACTGTAAATAATATTAACCTCATAGAAAAACATGATTCTTAGCAAATAGCAGCAAAAAAACAAAAAAAAAGATAAATTGTTAATGCATTAAAAACTCAAAGCTTGTATGCTTCAATCTAAAAAATATTCTGTAGGTTTGTTTAAAAAAACTGGTTAAAGATGAAGTTAATGCGTAGACTTCTACTCAAACTGGTTTGGACTGTAAATATTAAAAAGTTCTATCATTATCAGGATATAGACAAAATAGGTCATTCACAAAAGAAGTGGGACTGTAACAGGCCCTCTAATTTCCTTGGCCCTGATCATTATTATTGTCACAAAACATCACTATTTGACATCACATTGTCCCTGTAGTGTTTACTTGTTTAGTGCCCTTTAATCTTTTCCCACTAGAATGTAAGTTCCATAAAGGCAAAAAGCTAGTTATTTTCCACTGCGTGCCCAGTTCCTAGAACAGTATCTACCGCGTAACAGAGAATCCAAATAAATTTAAATTTGCTGAATGAAGAGATGAATGAAGGGCCTTCTTCTTTGACCTCCCCCACTTCCTTTCCTCCATACACATGTTAACCATCCTTTAAGGCCAGGGTCAGATTCTATTATCTCTATGAAGATTACCTCCCCTAATCCTCCAATGTCTTTCTCTTTTAGACCATGAATTTGGCACTTCCCTGCTGTCTGATAATTGTTTATCTTTACATATGTACATACCTCCCTTAAAATTCTTATAATCCTTATTAAGGGCATGGACCCAAGTCCCCAATTTTTGGTATCCACCTCAGTACATGTAATTAGTATACCATAGTAAATGTTTTGCTTTATTTATATCTGTAGTAAATTCAGAAATCAATTAAGTTTCAACTTTTTATAACCTATCCCCCTTTGCAAATATTCAACTGAAATTGCAGTGGGTCTCCCTCTATTTTAAATTTATCTTGGCGAATTTGAAAATTATAATGGGTCTCCCTCTTTTTAAATTTATCTTTGCCAAGTTTTACATTCTCATATAGTCATTATAATTTATGCTCATCATTTACTTTATCCTCCTCCCCCAAGGTTAAAATTTGATGTAATAAAAAATCTTGTGACTTTTTGGTGATATCTATTAATGAGGTATCAACCCCAATCAAGAAGATGTAGTTTCATTACACTCTTCTTGTTACTGAGGTATTGGAAGGTGTTTTTTTCCCTTTACGCCTTTTTCCTTTCATGCCAAGATGTATCCCATTTCCTTCTTTACTGATCATACCCTGACAAGCTTTTATTATTTCTTTGTACCTGTCTTTGGTAATCTGCCTTAGATCCTTCTTTGTGAGCCACTCCTGTTTCCTCCAGTCATTTATTTGATTAAATTTCAAACTCCCTTTCTAAGTCTGTGAATGAGAATAGCCTCTTCTTAAAGCCTGAGCCTGTTTCTTTAAATCCAGCCAAACTTTCATGAGCCTTCACACGGCCAATCCTTGATCACCTGGGCTAGTGAAATGCACAAAAATACCAGATTATCCACAGCACAAGAAAATCAGAAAAAAAATGACATCTGGCTTTGGAATATATCATATGTAGCCTTGAACAAGATTTACTTCCTTAATTATGTTTTTATTTAAGCCAACATTAGTAACATTTTTTTAAGATGGTATATATCTGCCTTAGTTTCAAACTTCGCTGTAATTAAAAAATAAAAAAAATAAAAAAGCCCATTAAGCATCAACTGTGCTTTTTCCTATGAAGCCCTTTTAACTAGTTTTCTCAATCTGTTGAAATCTGTCATAAAATCTGGCTTCTTTTTCCCCCGATTATTTCCTCACTTTTCTTGGGTATCTGATCCAAATCAGCTTACCTATATTAATTTACTTCTTCAATTTAAAGAACCATTTGCTTAAGAACGCAAAGCATTTTAAAAACATACATCCAGTGAAATTTTTAGTCCAAATAACAGGATAGAAAACTCCACGTTTTTCAGATACTCCAGAAAAAGCTGGGTTTCTAATATAAATTACACTGTTAATTCCAGCAAATTATATTTATTATATATGAACATTGGACAGCTATGTAAATCAGCTTCATCAATATATAATCCCATAGGTCAAAAACTCAATGGAATTAAATTCCCAATACAGGCATTTATAGAAAACAGCATCAAAACAAACTCGCACATCAAACCTTCTGACCCCACCCTAAACCCTGCACCCACCTGAGACGTGATCTCAGCTTCACCCCCACAAATAAGTTTTAAATGTATAAGAAAAAGAAATGAATTAACAGATCTTCTTTTTGCCCCCTTTTCAGTTAGTGGCATTAAGATTTTGGCCAAAGAGACCCCTAATCCTCAATATTACATGACTATGTTTACTTTATAGGTACTCAATTATTTTACAATTGAATGTAAGTTTATAGTGCTCCAACCGACCTTTTTTCATACACTAGCTACCATACTGCCAGCAGAATTAAGAATAAACTTATTTTTAATTTTTCCCCCATGTGGACCCTTGATAAATACAAATTATTTTACCTAAAAACCACTTTTTGGGCTGGTGTAATTTAGCCCAAAATTTTACATACGGTGTTAACTATTAACCATCCCCCCTCCCCCCAAAAAAAACTGTAACAACAACCTTCCACAGTCCTCAAACTCATAAATTCCACAACTTGATTTTTTGAAAAACAAACTTTCATGGTGCGTAGTCACATTTTGACTAAAATACCTACACAAAGTCATAAGTTTTTTAATTTGCTTCTCCTGGTTGCTGCCTTCACCAAATACAGAACTCCACAGATCTCAATTAATTGCGCCCTCCCCCAAGCTGTGTGTCCACCAATATACATGATTCTCAAAGAAAAGTAAATAATTAAAAATTAACTAAATCAACTGTTAATAATTCTTGTTTTCTTTTAAAAATTTACCTTAACTTCAAATATCTCTTTTCTTGATGTAGTTCAAAATAGTATAAAATGCTTTGACTAAACAGTTGTCACCTATATGCACTCTCAATCAGCCCCATAAAATGAGTGGCATAAAGAGGCATTTTTCTGACGAAGTTCTCCAAATAGTAGTCATAAGGTCTTTCTCGGATGGTAAATTTCACACACATACATACACATACACACACACACACACACACGCACACGCACACCCGAAAGAAAAGAAACATACCTGGTTATTTTCTAAACAGGTTTGATAGGTTTGGTTCCCTTGTATGAGCAGAGTATTTACTTATAATCTTTTAAAGCACAAGTGGCAGCCAGAGCACTGGGTAAATAAAAACTTCAGAGAGTTTTTAAAACCCTGCATCTTAACTCACTTCCCCTTGGTTCACGGGGACGGCACAGCAAACCCCACGGCAAATGAGATTATGCAACAGGTTTTTCCTGTCCACTTTATTCATCACAGGCTGGTTAGAGGTGTGCTTTCTCCAAACAACTTGAGACATCCAGGACTTCAGGATCTTTGCAGCTAACGTCTAATAATCTTCTTTAGAATTTTGCAGCACCCATTCATTTTAAGATCTAGTTAGATCTTCTCAAGTTAATTACCCGGTTGTTTTTGTTGTTGTTTAGTTTTAGGAAATAAACCCAACATCTGCAAACCTCAGTTTTGCATAAATATTTTCCTCCCTGGTGTTTTATTACGTGAAACCACACATGATAAACAGACTCTCGGTTGTCTCCCTGGGCTTTACTTCTCACGTTTTACGACTGGTGTAAATGTAGAAGTCGCTGGCGCACCGAGACCCCCAACATCATGACTCGGGCCCCAATATGAAAATTGAGTTGTTGGTTAGTTTGGTTTAAGAAAGCAACACCGTCACCACCCAGGTGGCCTCGCTCCTTACACCAAAGGCCAATTTGGGATAATGGGAACAGTCAGGCCGGGGCCCCACTTGGCAGGCGTGTTGTGTAACAGACGCGCCTGGAAGTGAGCAGCTTCACCCGCGAAAGTACCGCGTTCCGCGTTGGCGGCTCCTCGCGGCGGAACCGGCCGCGGGGCCCGCAAAGACCGAGACCCCGCGCCCGGCCGGCCGGCCGCCCGCCCCCTTCCCGCTCGGGCCGGCCCCCAGCCAGGCCTACACCCCCGCTCAAACGCTCGCTCGGCTCCGGGCCGCGGTCGCCCCCACACTGCCGTCCGAAAAGGTGGCCCGGACGCCCAAGCAGGCAGAGCCGGCGGGGCGAGAGCGCGGCGCCCGGCACCCGGAGTCCCGGCGCGCCGCGGAGCGTCCATGCCGCCGGCGCGGGCTGGCGTCCCGAGCCCCGCACCCTCCCGCCCGCACAGTCCGCGCGGCCGGCCCGAGGCCACTTACTTTTGGGGCCGCCGACCTCCCGACTCCCTCTGAGGGAAACGAAAGTTGTCACGGCGTCTCCCCTCGGTTCCCCCTCGCCTCCCGGACTTGCGAGGCGCCGCAGCGGAGCCGGGAGGGCGGCTGCGCGCGCTGCCGCTCGCGTCCGTCCCGTCGCGCTCTCCGCCTGGTCTTCTTTTCACTATATTATCTGCTCCTTCTCTGAGGGGTGGGCGGGGGCGGGAGGTTTAGGAAGAGAGGAGACGTTTGCAACTTTTCTTCACTCTTTCTCTTCCACCCAACCCCCCCACACACACCACCACCACCAATCAGCCTTGAAAAAACAATGTTGAAAGGGGTAAAGAAGTTAAGGAGGTGAAAGTGGGGGGCCGCGTGGGGATCGCGGAGGGGGTAGAGAGAGATGATAATAATCGTTTAAAAACTGATTAAAGCCCCTTAAACAGTGATACACAGAAAGAGGGGGAAAGACTGGGGGGGTGGGGTAGGGTGGGGGTTGGGGGAAGAGAGAAAGAGTCGCTGGTCAGGAAACTTCAAGCGCGGATGAGGTCATTGGTTTAAAAATAAAGAGATGGCGTCACTTGAAACCAATCCCAGTGAATGAACTCAGCGGAGCCCCGGGGAAAGGAGGAGACAGGCGAGGGCAGGGCGGTGGGCGCCGGGCGGGGCCGCGCGCCCGCCCGCCCATCCCGCGGCCGCCCGAGCCCGGAGCGCGGCTCCGCGCCTCGTTCCGGCAGCGCGGGGAGGGGTCGGGTCACGTTCCGTTCCAGAGTTCGGCGACTCCCAGGCAGGTTCCGCAGGCGCCGCTGGGAGGAGCCGGGGCTGCCCGAAGAGGCGGCCCCCGCGGCCTCCTCCCTTCGGGCCCGCGCCCCCGTCGCCCCCGGGCTCCCGGCCCCCGATCCCGGCCTGGGTCCTTGCCCCGGCCGCGCGCCTTCAGCGCTGCACCCCAACAGGTATTTAAGGGTTTTCCCCGCACCGAGACACAGAGACTTTTCCTCTTCCTTGGGCTGTTTCCAGCGGCCTCACCAGGGTGAAGAAAAGCAAAACAATGATTTGAGAGAATTACAATCACTCTTTTAAAAAGCCTGACGAATCCAAAATGCAGGGCACTGCCGTCTTTTATGAAAGAAGCTACAGGTACTTTAAGAAAAATCACACTGGTGTTGCCAGGCATTCAGCTTATCTATATGTCTTGGTCGTTGGAAGCCCCCACATGAATGTTCCTAACATTCATTATTTTACTTATATTTTCTTACACTTGTTTATATTTACAAATTTAATGAGTATGAGCAGCCAAAGAGTCTCTTGAAAAAACGTTTTCTACGTCACGCAACACAAAATCATCTTTAAATCAGACCCGAGTTTCACTGCCTCTTCAGAGGTGCCAGACCCCGTTCATTTAACTCCATAAACTTCGTGCATTTTTTTGTTGTTGTTTGGATTAATTAAAATAACTTTGTTTTGAGACTACATTACACACTTTAGAAAACTAGAGACTTGAGGTGGTGACAAACCAGGACTTGGAATCACTGAACAGGACAATCGGAGCTTTATTCTAGTGTTCTTTGAGCATTTGAGCATGAAGCTGCTTCTACTGAGAAGGACTCACGTGGATATCACATAACAAAGATGTGATTAATGACGGAAAAGCACACTGCGAGTGGACTGCTCCATGAGCCAGAATTTATGTGTAGGAATAATCTAGCTCCTAAAATATTCCATTTGCAACTGCACTGGATTTGGGACATTGGTCCCTTAAAGGCATCTTTGTTGTGGAATGTCGATTTGATTTGAACACTGCTGAAGGGACTTCTTTTTTAATTCGCTCAAGAACAGAAGCAGGTTTGGGGTAGGTTAGAAAGATAAACCATCTCCCTCCATACTCCTTTTCTGCCTTTAAAGCCTGCATCTAAACTGCATTTGTTATCGATAATCAGTTAAGGTTAGTATTGGGATGAGCCTCTGGAAAATTACGGCCCCTCTTTTAGAGGAGGAAAGAGAGCCCATATGCAGATGGAAGACCGCTGAGCACCTCAGGCAGCAAAAAAGCCTGAAGGCCATAGGTGCAGAGCCCACGTTCTGCCTCTGCCTTTGACCTCTTTAAGACTTGGGCAGAGGGGGCGCAATCTGCGCTGCTCCCTGTCCTCTGGTGGCCATGAGGTGTTACTGCAGCTTCAATGGGCCTGCTCAAGTAAGCCTCTAAAAATCTAACCATAGACCTTACTGGTTTTAGAACAGTCTTGAAAAGGGTGGTTGGAAAGGATCTGCATCTCAAATCTGTTTAGTTGAAGGAGTTAGGACTTGGAGGAAGGAAGGAAAAGAGAAAGAATCCTTGTCCTAAAAGTAGAGAGCATGGACCTTGTCTGCGTGAAAGACTCAGAATTTATGGAGTACCCTTTACATGCTGCAGCTCCAGTAGCCTTACTTTACCTGACACGTCTTGAAACCTCTCTTCCCTTTCTACATCGGTACAATAATTAAATTGGAGTGCCTTCCATGTATGTGGTGCTATGATAGCTATTACGGGAGCCTCCCTCTGGTGTGTATGATCTAATTGGGGAAATAAAACATAGATTAAAACTAAATTAATGACTGAGTGGTATACGATATTGGTTAAAGGAATCCATCAGAGAAAAGGAGCAATGTAGGAGTTGTCGGGGAAGGCATCTTCTAAAGAGCGTTGATCTCATCATCCTTGAAGTATATAGTTCAGGTTTAGTTTGGGGTAAAGGGGCTCAGTGAAGGGAGTAGTCTAGAGGGGAAATGGCAAGAGCAAAGACATGAGGTGGAATGAATAAGGTGAATTCAGGTGAGGGATGAGTAGACCCTTCTAATAGTAATAAAGATCTGTGTGTAGCAGTTAAGAATTAGGTTAAATTTAAGAACTTTAGAGGCACCTTATAGAGGTTCTAGAAGGTTACGATGAATAGCTCATTACTAGTCCCCAGGTTAACACTGAACAAGGGTACTTCACTAGAGTACATTTCTCCTTGTTCTACTAAAAGAGCTTCTATATATGCTGACATCAAACATGTTAGCAAATTAAACCAAATTAAAAACAATGCCATTTACAATTGCTCCAAAGAATATGAAATATTTAGGTATAAATCTAACAAGCCATGCACAGGATCTGCATGCCAAAAATTATAACATGCTGATGAAAGAAATTCAAGAAGACTTAAATAATTGAAGCAACCTACTATATTCATGGATTAGAAGAAGCAATATAGTAATGTCAGTTCTTCCCAAATTGATCTATAGATTTAACACAATTCCTATCAAAATCCCAGCAAGGTTTTGTTTCTAGGCATAGACAAGCTTGCTTAACCTAAAACTGCTTCCAGCATGTTTAAAGGGATGAGTGAATGCTAGAATTCCCCAAAGGCAGACAAAGCTCATATAGGTAGGGCTCCAGCAAAGCAGGGGTTCCAAGGTCTTAAATCAGGTAATTAATCTACAAAGAAGCTATTTCCACTTCAGTACATGTTAAGTGTATGGTTGGTTTAATATTGGTTTTAGTTAGAGTTAAACATGGGGAAAGAGCACCAATATTTTTAGTGAGAATTAATATTAAATTAATATTCTAGTTAGCATTAAATTAAAAATTTAGTGCTCAGCACCTCTTAAGGTCATCCCTGGCTGAAATGTAATCATTCGCTCAACAAAGCGTAACTGAGTACCTATGACCAGTATGTGCAGGCACTTCCTGGCTCTGGGAATACAGTTATAAATAAGAGAGGCAAGACCCCTTCCCTCGTGGATCTAACATTCTATTGGGTTGTCGGAAGAGTCATGGCGTATTTTTCTATGTTTTTCGTTGCAAAAATGTGTCATGACTTTTTCTACAACCCAATAGCTAGGAAAGAAGACAGTAAGCAAATGAACAAAAACAATGGACAGGACTGTGATGAGATCGACTATACAGGGGAAAAACTGGGTGATGTGCTAGCATATGATTTGAGGGTAGGGGCAAAGGTGGTTGGGGAGCACATTTGTGGGGGGGGGGCATTTTAACTAAGGCCTGAAGGATGGCAACCAGGAGAGTCGTCTGGGCAGAGGAAACAGGTCACTCAGACTCTTCAGCAGAGAGAGTGACTTGGAGAGAGTTGGTTGTGTTCCCAGAATGAAACCATGGCCAGTGGGGCTCAAAAGTATAAAGCGAGGGTGGGCAGGACCCTGACTGTATAATAGAACCTTATAACGCATGGTAAGGAGTTTGCATTCTATTCTCAATGACTTGAGCAAGTAAGCATAATAGTTTAGTTTTGAAAAGAGAATTTTTGTAGTATTCTATAAATATTTATTTAATTTAGCTGCTCCCTTTTCCAATATGAAGGAAGCCTTTTTGATCATGTGTTTACTCTCCAGGGGATGATCCCTTTAATGTCCCCAAATCAAGTGTTCTTAGCCTAGAATTCATGGATTCCTGGGGAGTACATAATAGGCTTCAGAGGGTCTAGGAGCCCCCTAAAATGTTGTGCATATATGCTGATGTGTTTTTCTGTGAGCAGGTGCCTAGCTTTCAACAGATTTTCAAAGGATTTTGTCACACACACACACAAAACGAGTATGACCTACTTTACAGTTAAGTCTTGGCTGTGCTTTTTGGATTGTAGTTGCTGCTATTGTCCTAGGGCTCACAGCACCATACAAACAAATCACAGTTCTGGAAAGCGGCAAGCTCTGCCTCAAAGAGGTGACGCTATGTTGGAGGAGAGAAACATGTATTTGCAGCAGAGTAGGAGGAATATTCTAAGAGCTTGCTTCCAAAGGGAGGGACTTCATGGAAGGAAAATTTTACCTACGCCTATGTAATGTGAGAATTAGAAGATACCTAAGACATTACCTAATACCATCCCACTCACTTTACATATAAGAAAGTGAAGGTCCAGAGAGGTTAAGTGGCTTACCCAAGGATGCACAGCTACTTAGAGACTAAACTTGGATTGGAAACATGTCTCCCAGTGCTCATCTGTGCTCCTCATCTCAAGGTTTACCAAAGAAACTGGACCAAACACAGTGCTTAAAAGTCTAATAGAAATTAAGTGTTTAATTCATTCAATTCAATTAAACAAATACATGCTCATTCCTAAGGAAATGGAAGGAAAGAGGGAGGTAAAAGTGTTTGAAAACATATAAAATCCCAGCTCTGAAAGAGATGAAAAAAACCCTCAATGTAAAATTAAGACATACAACCAAGGAGGAGTAAACAGCAATAACACTCTGTGTTTGTCAGTGTATATCTGATCTTTCTGTGGCAAATATGTAATTAGGGACAATGTTATAAACACTAGATGACTTTTCACTTATCGATGTGGCCAAGATTTAAAAAATGGCTAATCTTAGGATGGGGTCAAGAGTGTGGAAAAACACTCTCTCCATACCACTGGTAAGAGTATAAATTGGTGTAACAATTCTGCAGGGCATTTTGGCAATGTTTTCAAAAGTCTTTAAAAATGCTTACCCAGCAATTCCACTTTAAGAATTCATCTTAAGGAAATAATAGTACTATTTTCCAAAGACATATAAATAAG